CTAACCCTCACTGCTGCCAGCATTTGCCATGGATCACCTGGAATTCCACGGCACTTCCTTGTTCAAGCTTAGCTGTAAGAGCTGCTTTACCCCTTCAGTGCTAACACAGGTCCAGCTCTGGAATTCCAGTGTTTGGGAAGTTGGCCAAACTCAGGATAATCACAAACTTAAGTTTTCTGGAGTTAGTTACACCTCCTATTCCCACTGCAGCAGCTCCTCTCAGGGGATGTTTTCAAACCATTCCAAACACTTGGTGAACTCCTCACTTTTTCAACTCAGTGCCCAAGACATCCCACAAATAATTGGGAAATGTAATGCTTCCTACAGGCTGGAAAATCAGAACTTACGTTGAATTTGATGGTTGTACCAGTTGGAGCAGCTGTAAAACTGGTGGGGCCAAAGAGGGAGCCAGACGTGCTCCCAAAGGGGTTGGAGGTGGTGTTGGTGGTGCCAAAGAGGCCTCCACTGCTGGTGCTCGTGCCAAAGTCTGAGCAACACAGGGAAGAAGAGAAAGATCGGCATTACAATAAACCTGAAACCCACATGTCATACAAATCAGAGAGCAGTTTGAAAATGGGAAAAGACAGCTGGAAAAATAACTGCAGAGCAGAGCTAGAGGTGCTGCTAATGCACTTTGCTGCTGCAGGAGTGTCTAAGTCACCATCCCTGTCGCCAGGGAACACCAGGAGAACCACAGCAGCCACTTCCCCTCTACTTCTGACAGGCAGGAGGAAAATGACACAAGGGCTTCACACTGCAGGGGATGAGTGAAGCTCCATCTCTACCCCCAGCAGGGACTGCAAGCAGCTGCTTTGTGGAATTACAGCAGCTGTAAGGCACTTCATGCTCCCTCATGGGAGCAAACCCACCTGCGACTGCTCTGCCTCGGCAGGACAAAACCCCAAAGCAACCAGAACCAAAGGGAAAATTCCACCCAACCACCTTTGGCAGCCTATTTTAGCATGGGTGGCTGGGATGAGAGCCTCAGGAGCACCTCAGGCTGGCTCTGGGTGGCTGTGGACCACAGGGATGGGCTTGTGCCCCACCAAGCCCCAGAGTGAGCCTTGTGTCAGCAGCTCCCCAAGCTCTCCGGGCACACAGGCAACTCACTTCCGAAGCCAGCTGGCTTGTTCTGGGCAAAGGCATTGTTCTGGGAGGAGAAGAGCCCACCCCCGGTGCTGGTTGTTCCAAAGAGGCTGTTGGATGTCCCAGTGGATGTCCCAAAGCCAAAGCCAGTGCTGGTGGAGGATGTTGCAGGCTGGTTGAACGTGGTGGACCCAAACAATCCTCCTGCAGACAGAAACAAACTGCTCAGCACTCACAATCCTCACTGTCTGAGGGGTTTCAATAGGTTTTGGGGGTTTTGGCTGGATATTTTTTGTGGCTGGTCCCTTGGATTGGGTTTTTCCCTTCCCTCAGGATTTTACCATCCTCCCTCCAGGCTCTACCCCCCTGCACCCACCCCCCAGCAGTACCTGGCTTTGCCTGGGTGTTCCCAAAGAGGCCTCCAGTGTTGTTGTTGGAGCCAAAGGCCGATGTTCCAAAGGCCCCTCCACTCGTGGTGCCAAAGCCAGCATCTGCAACAGGGACACAGGGATCAGAGCCTGCACACCTCTCTGCTGGGGCAGCTCTGCAGCGCCCTCGGCCTGCACGTCCTGCCTTCCACAGCCTCCCAACAAACCCAGCCCGCAATACCCTGACCTGCAGCTCAGCATCCCATGTCCCACCGTGTGCGTCATCATGGAATGCTAAGGGGTTGGAATGGACCTTAAAGCGCATCTCACTCCAACCCCTGTCCTGGGCAGGGACACTTGCCCATGGGCAGCTGGTAAGGAGGTGATTCTCCCCATCTGCTCTGCTCAGGCCACTCCTGGAGTGCTGCACACAGCTCTGGTGTCCCCAGCATCAGAAGGACATGGAACTATTGGAGCAAGTCCAGAGGAGGCCACAAAGCTGATCAGAGGGTTGGAGCAGCTTCCCTAGGAGAGAGTTGGGGCTGTTCAACCTGGAGAAGAGAAGGTTGTGTGGAGACCTCAGAGCAACCTGCAGGTGCTGAAGCTGCAGAGGGATCTGTGTTAAGAGCTGCAGGGACAGGACAAGGAGCAACAGGGAGAAATTCAAAGAGGGAAATTTAGGCTAGATATTAGCAGAAATCCTTCCCTATGTGGATGTCCCTGCCCAGGGCAGGGGGTTGGGGCTGGATCATCCCTAAGCTCCATTCCAACCCCTTACCATAGTATGAAGTTTCCCACTATCTCAGACTGCTCAAGGCTTTATCCAGCCTGGCCTGGGATGCTGCCAGGGATGGAGCAGGAAATTTCAAGAGCAGACATGGAATGCTGCTGTCTCCCCAGATTAAGAGCTTGGTTAGTGTGAAGATCCAAGTGAGCTGCAGAGTCTAGCAGTATTCCAACTCCACACAGAATCACCACCTCCATGTGATCCTCTCAGCTGCACTCCAGGGAAAAAGAGCTCATTAAAAGCCACCTGAACTGATGTTAAGGTGTTTTACTCACTTTGCCCAAAGGTGGAGGTTGTCCCAAAGCCAGTGCTGCCTCCGAACGGAGTCCCAAAGGATTTGTTAAACATCGTCACGATGGATCAGGTTTTCCCCCTAAACCTGGAGAGGACAATTCAGGTTTGATTCAGAGCTTATCTTGCAAACTCATTTTTCAGCTTCCTCAGGGCTGAGGTCAGGAATTGCCCTGGAACCCTTCAGCCTAAATCCCATGGCAGCATGTTCAGGTCATAGAGAGCAATTCCCAGCCCGGCCAGAGCCTGGAGGGCAAGGACACAACTCCTAAGTGCCACCACAGGGAAGGGTCACTAAGCCACCAGGGCCACTCTCAGTCCTTTAACTCTTAACTAGCCAACATGACTTTAACCCACAACTGACCAACCTGCCTTGGAATCTTAACTCCCTAATGCACCTTTAAGCCTTAACTAATACGGCTTTAAATCACAACTAACACGACCACAACTTTGTCACAACTAACTAACACGACTTTAAGGCACATCTACAAACCGTAAGCAACACGACTTTAAGCCAGAAGAGACACGACTATAAATCCAACTAACACCACTATAAACCATAACCCAACCCCTTTACGCCACGGCTAGCGCAGACCCGCACGGCTGTGCCTCCCAGCAAGACAACTCCCACCCGGAACATCGCATTCTTAACCCGCAGCACCCCGAGGCGAAACCTCAGCACCACGACCTCCGCCCGC